GTGAAAATTCGAAAAAAACTAAAGTACTCGAATAGGATAGGGATACACATCAGTCGATTCATTTTTTCATCCTGATTCCGAATATGATATTTTTATTGCATAAAAGTTGAGTTCTGGTGGAGAAAATTGAGAATTACGAATTACATTCAAACCAGCAAAAATAATTTGGGATTCAAAGGGATACTTTAAGTGTGAAAATTTTTGTTTTTGCTTTTCTTTTTAATGACATATTTTAAGCATGTAACAACCGCACTTCAAGCGTATGATTTTTTTGTCACTGCGCCTACAAGCGTGAGACGAAGGACGCCATCTTTTTCCTTTTGTTCTATGTTGAAGTTCTGTCCACTAGCCAACAGTTGTTTTTGTACAGTCTGACTTGGATCTATTGTTCCAGTTATTTAGGCAAACATCTATGGATTTAAATTCTTGCATCTCTTTTCTGTAAGATCATGACTGACATAGACATTTATAGTGGAATGAAAGACCTTATTTATCAGGGCGGAATTGATTATGACTACGCGGAGTTTTATTCTGAAGTATTTAAACGTGAATTTGTTGATTTTTCCCTGATTTCTGCGTTGACGGACGATAATTTCAAGGAGCTGGGCATGCAAATGGGTCATCGAGCATTGATCAAGCAAGTTGCTGGTCAAAATAAAAACGAAGCGTGAGTGCTTGATAATTATAGCATATTACATGTATTCTTTTCTCTTTCAACTTTTTGAAAAATAGCAGTTTGTACTTTTCCAGGATTGTTGTTGTATCTATCGTTAATGACGAAACAGCTAAAAATATGTCAACAACCGAATTTCTTACGATGGGTCAACTGAACGACATGGAAATAACATCACCAAAAGAAGCGGCAGATCATCAAGTCGAGGTTATTGAAGCAAAGAGGAAGCTCAGTAAAAATGATGTTAAAAAGGTATTTGCGAGGCTTGCTCTTATTATGCATTTAAACTCTTATATTTTGTAGAGTCCCTTATCTAGCTCAAATTCCTATACTAGACGATCTTGTTGTCCAAAGTGTGCAGAAAACGGGTAGGTAAATTGGCACCATCACTCACATCTTCCACTGACATTTTTACATTTTAAGGTGGCTTCTAACATGTGAAAAATGAGGTTTTCAATAAGGTATCCCAACATTATGTTTTAACCTATTCAAAGGGGAAAAGTCGTACTGATTATCGAAATTATTCTCGATCGTTGTTGAGAAAGTACAATATTTTCGATCTTGAAAAAGATGAAAACGCAGAAGTTTCATTGGTAAGAATATTTTCCGTTTTTTAACAGGTGGAATGCAATACTTTCATTCTTTAGTCTAAGCTATCGTCGTTAATTTCGAATAAAGTTCGAAGTTTGCGTCAAAACCGACAGAAAAGTATCGGAAAAGACAAGAAAAAAGGCGACAAACAGCAAAAATCAATAAAGGAGCTACAAAACGATAACGACAACAAAAGTTAACGCTCCCGTCTCCTTCTGCCTCAGGTGTACTTCAGGAACAATACAGCAACAGACAAGATGATATTGATGAACAACTTCTCTCGTCTTCTGCTGAGAATATATTTGAATTAATAGAAAAATCCATCGGAAGTGCCGATTCTGCACCTGAAGTAGGAGAAGAAGTTACAATTGACGGTACGCTTCGTTAAAGTGTCAAACAGTATAGATTTTCTACTCTACTGTACTTTCAGGCACACAAGAACCATTCACAAGCACAACAACCGCAGTACAATTTGATCAGATAAAATCATCGATTGTACAAAATATTCAAAGGCAAGTGCAAGGTGTGAAAGATTTTTTTGATAATGATAACATTGTTGACATTTAGATTGGTCAAAAACATTTTAGATTTGGAAGAACACGATTATTTCCAGCAAAGTGGCAAAATTCCACTAAAAGAAACAAAGTCAAATGATTCTGAAAGAGAAGGTTTGTTGCCACTTTGGATGACTGAAGAGATAAATTATGTTGCTCTTCCTTAAGCAGTTCCTTGAACGTCGTTTTCTTTAGCACAAGACACAGCATTAACGCTTGACGAAGAGAACGTGCTATCGGCTGAAGAAGAGACGAGCGATCCTGGTGAGTGTATTCTATTTAATAAAGAGTACGAGTTCTTTTGACTCACAAATTCTCGCTCATTCCGCCCTCTGATAACTTTTTCATTCATTTTTGGAGTGATTTCTGGTTCTTCACCAGAAGAAGCAATCACAATCGCTTTTTTGGCCTCTGATTTTCATTCAGATTTAATATCTTTTTTTAGGGCTGAGTGATTCACACATTATATACACGAAGGAAGAAATAAAAAACGTTCACCGAGTGCCATCATCATTTGAGATCTGTGTTTCTAGGAAATCAGAAACCTATGCATTTGGTACCAATAAGCGACGGATAACCGGATCATTTTTACAACCGGCAACAAATTCTTCTTTTGTTAATTTTTTATCACCAGTGATATCACAAATTCGCATTATTTCTTCAGCACGGCTAGAAAACAGAGTAAAAAAGAATAACAGTGTGATAAAAGATTCCTGAGAGATTTCTCAACTTACTGTTTTGGATCACGATCGCCTTTTCTGTCTGTTTCACCGATTAAATCGTACATTGCCGAAATAATTTTACGCATTTTTGCTGTATCGATCGTGCCCGTATTATTATAATCATACATGTCAAAGGCCTAAGCGTAACAATGAGACTAAGTCGGACTGAAAGGAAGAGAAGAAGAGAAGAAACGAACCAGCGCAAGTCTATCATCCAGATCACCACTTTGTGTCAATGCAATTGCGAACATAAATTCGGTGAAATCAATTTTACCATTATTGTCACGATCGAAACTGGTGAAAGCATATGTACAAAATTTGTGTGCTTTTCCTCTAAAACAACAAAGCAAACCATTCGTTTATTCAATTTCATTCTCAAATCTATTTTCCTATTCTCAAAGCCTACCCTGGGTAAAACTGTTGGTAAACATTAATAAAACGATCTTTACTAAGCTCACCATTCGGACAATCGCGTAGAAATCCTGAAAAATTAGAAAAAACATTCTGAAAGAAAGTTCTCGCATTCAACATAATGTCATACACTAAACACTTTGACTTCTTCACACAGAAGGACGGACAAAAGCACAAACCTGCATGCCATTCTCTTATTTGTTCTTCGGAAAAATTCGTTGTGGCCTTTAACATTTGAATTTGTTTTGGTGTTAAAATTGTTGGATCAACTTTATGGGATGAATGTTTATTGGGTAACACGAATTTAGCTTTCAGTTGGCTAGGCCACGTTTTCCAAACTGAAGCTGCCGAGTGTCCTGTTTTACCTTCTGATCCAATCGCTAAATTTACACCCGTAGTTTCTGTAGCTACCTGAGCATCAGTAACTGGTGGTTTAAGCAGTAGAACCGGCGATTGTATCTCTTTGACATGAATTATATGAAGACTGTTCCCCGCATCTGCTTTTCCGACAACCTCAAAATAACTAGCAGGCATCAAAAGAATTTCATTTTCACTCTCATACTGCGAATGAGACTTAATCGGTTTACCGTTCTGGCATTCCACATTGAACAGAGTTCGTGTCCCCGTTTTACCAAGATATTGATCATTTTGCAAAATTTGTAATGATTCAGTGCATGAACTAACGCCCCACCAAACGAACTTTGTACCAATAGAAAATTGATCGCTTATATCGGCCTTGATTCCACGCCACAATGTTTGTTTTGTCGACGGCAGTTTCCATAAGGCTGTTAAAAATAATTTCAAATATGCAAACCAGGGTATGAGATCTCCTCGATTTTCGTTTCTCAGTGCCTCGTTTAGTCGCTGATAGAAGATAGATTCCATTGTGTAGAGATGAATAGAAGCGGATTCGTCTTGAGTGAGACCATCAGCCGGATTTTGACAATTTTGTTTTGCTATCCAAGCGCGAGTCAGCAAATCTTCGAACATGTCTTCCAACGGTTTTACAGCTTTTTCTAACGATACGAGCGGTTGTTTTTCATAACCACTGATCGGATTTAACATCTTTTTCGGCTCGTTGGCGACATCGAGATACCGGGCATTATTCATTGTAAAGAATAAATGTTGTCAAAGATTTCTAGGAAAAAATTTTAAAACTCAAAGTATTTTATGTTGGATTGTACAGCTTTTATTGAACTTCATAGCATAGAGCAGGTAAAATAGAGTACATCTTGCTAGTCTGACATAATTTGGATGGATTTTGACTGAGTTATGAATTTTTTAATTTTATTCAGAAATAGGCAGAAATGAGTTATTTGACGTCGTATGGGTTTCACTACGTTTTTGGAACTTAATCGAAAAATAAATGTTGCCACGAGGTTCAGCATGGTTGATTATCTATGTTTCCATACGTCTTCGGAATTACCTCACCTAAAGAAGTATCGATCCTGAGACTCTCAGGAACTTCAATGCCACACCTAAACCAGGGAAAATTAAGAGTTCGCTTGGCTTCCATTTTGCAGAGGACACTCTGGATTATATATCTATGGAAAAAACTGAGAGACCGCTATCTCAGTATCCGGCGATCCAAACTGGTTCTCTAAAGACCTCCTAGAAAACCGATTTTTCCAATATTGTTTGAAAAGGATTTTACTTTAGAAAACATAGGCAAAACTGTTTTCTTTCGATTGCTGAAAATCCTAAATCTCTATCTTTTACCGCCACGGCTTATCTTTTAAACCACGGCCTTAAGCAAAGCTGTAAATGCTTTGTTTTCAGTAATCTCTAAAAAAGCATTGTCAAAACTTGTGCACGAACGAAATCACTATGAGAATCGCTGCACTAGGCTTACTTATAAATGTAAATGCGCAAATAACTTAGCACAGACTCACACGTTTCCTTTTCTAAATCTTTTCAAAGGGTTTATAAGAATGTCACCATAAGGGTTTATAAGTGTTCGAGAACCCTTTCTAAGAGTCTTTTCCGATATTCAAAAACGTTCCACATGGTGATCGTCTTGTAAACGCTTTTAATTAATTTACCTACGGTTGTTTTTTAGAGTACAGTAAGCATGTTTTTCTAGTACAGTACAAAATGTTTTTCTTGTATGCCTGCTTGTTAAAAGTGAATTATGTTTCCATAGTGTGCATGTAGATTTCTTCTATGTTTTCTTCATTTAGAACATTCATAATATAATCAGGCATATACTATTACTGTAATGCACATCATATAACTGCACTAATACACAAAAGACACGCTTGATCTGCCTTTTTCCCTTTTTGTTCTGATATTTATAGCGGTTTACATACGTTTTGATAATCAACATATAAGACATAGTTCTTACGTTACGATTCATTCATAAATGATTCATCAATATTATTCATCATCTGTCTGACGCATTCGTCTTAAACCACTCTTCCATGTGTATCCTACACGTGTGTAATCTTTGTGTGAAATGCTAAATGAAAGAAAAACTATGACACAAACATATTTAATCACAAGATATTTTTTTTCTTCAGTGCCCACTGGAAAAAGTTTCGTAAATAAAACTTTTCTTTAATAAATGAACTTTACTCAGAGTATTTTCATTATTTTATCTCTTTCGCTTACAGCAAGTCTCAACTAGCTATCATATACCGTTCGATAGCGAATTTCACGGGCTACAAAATGCTATATAAAATATTAGAACAAAATGGGACTGAGTAGGCTAATATCAGAAATACTCTAAAGCAGAACAAAGAACATGTTATTCTTTTTCTATAAATGTTTCCGTTGTACAAATACAGTATATGACTGTTCTTGAGAAATATTCATTCGAAAAAGATACATTTAGTGTAGTAAAAGAAGATCAAGACTGCGAGCAGCAATATCTTTATTATTGAAGTTTGTTTCTGAAAGCATTAGTTGAAGTTTCTTTCAGACCTTGAGACAGTTCTAACCAAACATGGTAGCTCTGGCCAACTTAAACGTTCGTTAAAGTATAATTATTGACATTTATGTTACTAACTTCTTTGAAGATTTCACCTGATTATATATATTTTTTACTTTTATTTCAAATAGAAATAAAAGAAGAAATCTAGACTAGTAGCAGTGCTACTAGTAAAAAACAGATTCACACATATGTACAGAAATAGGAAGAAATTATGCTAACGAATAGCGGTTCTCGTCTTCGTCATCCGCTGAGTCGTAAAAGTCTGACACAGGAATACTGCCAGTAGCTAATGTAACAAGATCACCCGATGGCGTTTTTTCGTTCTTTGCTCTGCCAATCATAACTTAAAAACCAGATTGCAGAAGTAACATACAGCAACCTATAAATACAGCTTCCAATCGGACATTCGTAGAACCAGTCGGTAATCTCATCCTTAGTGAATTGTATGACAGGATAGTAGGATTTTCGTGCGATATTTGCCGATTGTGATGACACCCGTAAAATATTAGTTCAGATTTTAAAGACTTAAATCGAGTTCATTCAAATTCATATCGCACAGAAAACGGCGGCGCTCTTTTAGTTTTCTATTTTAGGACGTTGTTTAGACAGAAAGAATTCATTCAACTTCATTTGACATACTACTTCATTTTATCTCTAATTTGAACAAATCTTAAGTTTCTTCACATAAAAAATTCACGACACGATATCTAAAAAGCTTAGGCGTTCAAAGAACATTTAATACATGATCAAAGAGAAGAAGATGTGAGGCCGGAGATGCATCTTTAGCCAGTAATCTAGAACCACCTCAAAACACTCCACAAAATGATCGTCAAAATCAACTTATTAGAGAAGCCCTCTTATTATTAGGCATAAATTCACCACCAAACACCTCAAATACCACACTCTTGGATTTTTTCGAAGTTAACAAAAGCAAAGGACCAACTAGTAAACACAGAATGATAGTCTTGGACAGGTTGAACCTGTCCAAGACTATCATTCTGTGTTTACTAGTATGATATTGCTAATTGTGATTATGTACTAGTATTTCTGTTAGTAACAGAAATACTAGTACATAATCACAATTAGCAATATCATCTCATCTTCCAGTCTTTTCAATACGTGCAGTATCACCAGCAATTACCACAGACGATGTTTTGACACCACTATCAATTTCTCTACCAACTCCGGCTGCAAATGAAAGCTTCAGTGATAAATCAATACACGAATACCATAGTGTTTATGTATTCCATAGACGAAAAAAAAGGAAAGCTATAATTTTGTGACATATTTTAGAATTTCAACCGCAAAAACTTTAGGACTCTTCAATAAGTTTCTTTCTTGTATTTCTCTCAACAAGATTTGTTCTCAACCCAACTAAAAGATTTTCAGCATTTTCTCGTGAAACTAAATTACGGCGTAAGTAGCGGTCAATGTGTTAAGAGAAGGTGATCAATTATGTACTTGATATAGTCTAAGCTTTATTCTGTCAGTATACAAGCGGAAAAATATTCCATTGTAGAATTCTAAACTAAAGCAGTCAAAAAACACAAAAATATCGAAAAACACAAAGCATTATGTATTTGATTAGAAACAAATATTTACACAAACTCTATTTTTTTTTGGTTGCTCTGTGCGATCTGTATTTTATAAAGAGAAAAGAAAAGTCTTATTTTGTTATTTTATTTTCAATTGTGAATTATTAGATGACTGCAGATTCTGTGTAGCGTATTCATGTTGCTCGGCAAAATGCTTGACGTCGTAGAAATTCCACTTCTATCATCATATAAACTTCTTCTTTTCCAATTTCTTAAAATTCTAAAATGTACCACCGCAAAAATGGTTTTTCTGACAATTGTCAAAATTACAAAAACTTAAGATAATAGTCGAGAAACGACCTGAAATTCGACAATGTTGAAAATCAGACTAACTTAAAATCAGATAGACTTTTGAGAATTTGTCGAAAATATTGAGCAAAAACGACAAAACGACAAAAACAAAGTTCCGATGGCGAAATTCCAACTGTCGATATTCCGTTTACTATCGGATAAGATTTTAACAAAAGCAGATAAGAAGCTAGCAAGATCCTTACCACATTTCTGTACAATGCTTATATAAGAATTGATGTCTAGAATCGAAGCTTCTTCTCCACAGTTTCCAGTTCAGTTTAAAAACTTCATTGCTGCGAAGGAGTTTCAATGATGGCGCAAACTTTTGTTAGATATGTTTTTCCGTTTTAGACAAGAGGTCAAATGAACTTAAGTGAACCTTATTTGGTTATTTATTTAATTCAAAAATTATATTTTATTAAATATTCTAAATTAACAAGTCAAAAAAAATGTTTTACGAGGTCGGTATTTTCTGAGAGTTTCTTCGTCATTACAACAGTTTCGTTTATAGTTTTATTTTTGTCGATACCATCATTCGAATCAATGACATCGTCAACAAGTATCGCTTCACCTATATCATGTGCTGGCCAAATTTTCCATAATAACCAATAAAGACTTAAGCTAATAATAAATGAATTTAACCAACCAACATAAAAAATATAAATGGCATTACCAACTTTAATTAATTGTGATATTTGGTGAAGAAATCCTGGTAAATTAGGTATTGTACCACAGATCAGAGATACATGTGCTCACCAATGCCATCCTTTCCAATACCAATATTTGGATCGCCGGATATTGAGATAGCAGTCTCTCAGTTTTTTCCATAGATATATAATCCAGAGTGTCCTCTGCAAAATGGAAGCCAAGCGAACTCTTAATTTTCCCTGGTTTAGGTGTGGCATTGAAGTTCCTGAGAGTCTCAGGATCGATACCTCTTTAGGTGAGGTAATTTCGAAGACGAATGGAAACATAGATAATCAACCGTGCTGAATCTCGTGGCAACATTTATTTTTCAATTAAGTTCCAAAAACGTAGTGAAACCCATACGACGTCAAATAACTCATTTCTGCCTATTTCTGAATAAAATTAAAAAATTCATAACTCAGTCAAAATCCATCCAAATTATGTCAGACTAGCAAGATGTACTCTATTTTACCAGCTCTATGTGATTTTTTACTTAAGAGTAGTAAAAAATATCGCTGGAATGCGGAAGTTGAAAAACTCCGCGTTTATTTGACTTACACAGGCTCTAGTTTTTAAAAGAAAATAAAGAAAAAACTTCTTCTGAT